GGGCTCGTTTGCTTGAATTTTATTGTGAAGATGTTACCTTGCTCTGATGATGTTCGTCATATGACGGACTAAAGCTTAGCACGTTTTCAATAGAAGGATATTGCTTCGGAAACAGCGTCAGCATGAATGTTCCAGTAAAGCCAATCGACACCTGGTCAAGAGGAAGTCGCCGTCGTCTTCTGGTGCAACCGAACTTCGAATCTCTTTAGCCAAAACTTCCACTCGAAATAGAAGTAAGCTCAACATGCATAATTATTTCCAAAGTCGGACCGTGGACGTGGTACATTCCCAGACGTTCGCTGGCATCGTAGTCGGCATCGTCAGTGAGTTTACCATTCGTAGTACCATAGTACAACTCGTCAAAGAGACAAGTGAGGCCGATCCTTTTACCAAACATGTGCTAAACAGTTGTGATATGTCTCCTTCCGCCCTGGGCTAATCACCAATCCTATATCCTCGTATCACGCCTTCACTATTACAATTGTTTACTTGCTTATTTAAACCTGGGGTGGTGTGCCCTTTTAGGTGGCTTTCATGAAAACTCTCCACAATCCAAGCTGGCTTTCTCATCCTCTCATCCCCGTGATGGGAATGTGGATCAGATTCTGCCATATTGTTACGCAGTCCTCCTTTCCTGGGTCTTATCAGAGCCTTCCTGTTACTCCGTGGGATCCGTCTACTGTCTCCCTGGTTCAAGTATTTCACTCGACCCCTGTCACTCGAGACATTATTTCCCACCCCTTAAGTCTGGGTGACCAAATCGAGGCTAAAGCCAATGCGTAATTCTCATGGTCAAACCTTTACTTCATGGACCACGTCTATGGTGAAACAAGCCTACAATCAGCCAACTATCTCTAGTCCCCTCCACGTCTACCTTGTTTCTATCCCTAATACCAAATCTAGCACTCCCTATGCCCTAGTCTATAGTGTGCCAACCGACAAATGTTGTGCTTCTACATTAACCCTAATCAAAGCAAGCAGTACCATCACATTTGTGGGTTTGCACACGAGGCACTTTGGCATTGGAAGTCATAGACTTGATAGTAAGGATAGAAACAGTACAGGCGCGATGGAGACTAGAGCTAGTTGGTTGACCGTTGGCCTGTTCTACCATAGACGTGGCTTGATCATGAGACTCACGCAGGCGCTTTAGCCTCAACTTATTCTCTCCGACACAGAGTGTGGGACATAACGCCTCAAACAGCAGAGATGGGGTGACAAGGGTTAGGTGAAATACTTGAACAAGGAAGATAGCAGACGAAATCTACGTGGCAAGAGGATGACTGTGATAAGACCTAGGGAAGGAGGATTGCATAACAATATGGCAGACTCTGATCAACATTCCCAGCACAAGGGTGAAGAAGGCTGAGTGGGTGAGAAGGCCAGCGTGGAGTATGGAAGGTCGTCATGACAATCGCTCAAAAAGGCACACCATACCAGATTTAAATAAGCAAGTAAAAATTGTGATAGTGAAGGCGTGATACGAGGATATATGTAAGGTGAATAGCCCAGGACAGAAGAGATACCACAACTGTTTAGCACACATTTGGTCAAAGGATCAACTTAACTTGTCTCTTTGACGAGTTTCAGTTTGGTTGCTGAGACTGGCAAGACTCACTTATGCTGCCGAATACGATGCCGGTGAAACGTCTGGGAATGTACCACATCCACGGCCCTACTTCGGAAATGATCATGCATACAATGGACTCCGGAATAGGTGCGTTACTCTAAGTCTTCCTACCAATATGACTAAGCTGCGAAAACAAGGTTGATAAATTGGCTTTCATTTCACCGG